GCACCCGGGTTGTTCCAATGTACCCTTCCCAGTCAGCGATGTCACATTTACATTCTTTAGCGCAAAGTATGTACATAGCAACCTTCCTCCCAAAACATGTAATCCCTACATGCTTTGCCGACTATGTAACTAGTACATCCGGTGCGATTCGGCTAGCTTTCGACCTCTCCCCCTGGCCTCAAGTTGAGTGCTGACCCTAGCCACTCTGTGGAGTGTGCATGGCCATTTGCTAGCATCAGCTCTTTGATGCTTTGCCTCATATCCATCAAAAACCCTGAACCCACCAACCACCAGTCCAACCACCGGCCTGCTTTCTCGCGTCCACCGTCTTGCCGTGTGAAGAATAGGACCCTGGCGGAGATGGAGCAGTCGGCCGCCGAAGTGCAACGAGCCGCGGCGCAGCTCTCGTTGTGCAAGGTGGATTGGCTGCGGTGCTACGAGTCCGCCGCTGGGCAGGACGTGCTTGGGAGCGAGGTAGGGTGATGTGAGGTGAGGTCGCCAGGTGGTATGGTGGGGACCTCTGTGATGCGAGGGAGGTGTGATATTGGAGGGCGCCCCTTGTTTAATGCCTTGTCGTCCCGGAACATGTGGGGGTGTTGGAGTTTCAATGCAAGTGATCCGTTCTTCAGTGCCAGTTGTGAGTGGCTCTAGCGGCCCTAGCGGCCTATGGATGAAGATGTGGGAGGCCAGACACAGGGAGCGAGTTAGTTGAGTTGCTTCCCGCAGCTCAGAGGTTTGTCACCTTGGAAGCTTCAAACCCTGTCCAGCCTGGCTTCACAGAGCTTCACCCATAGCACATCGTAGCACTCAACGCCCAAGGCCTTGCGCAATGCTCGCGATGATGCAGAGGTGGAGGCTGTGAAAGCAGCGGCCGTGGCACAATCTACACAGATGGATTGGACGATTGTCGCATCCTCCCAGTGTGCCATGTCCGGACCCACGCATGGCACAGCACAAGGGGCACATGGTATGCTTGGCACTGCTCGGAGCGGTGTGCATGAGGGGCATGGCATGGCAGATGGTGCACTTCATGACGCGGTCAGGACCGTTTCACCTGCCTCACATGGGGAGGTCGGCGATGCGCATGGCCATGGCGCATCAGGTGACTTCGCCACCGCCAAGCACCACTTGGAGCATCGGTGGATGGAGAAGACGGCCTTTGGCGCCGCCGAGCGCGTGGTGGAACGCATGACCGAGAGGGTGGGCGAACGCCTCGCCGAGCGTGTGGGGGAGCGGATGACGGAGCGCGTGGGGGAGCGCTTGGTGGAAGGCGTCGGCGAACGCTTGGCTGAAAGGAGTGCTGAACGCTTGGTGGAGAGGGGCATGGAGAGGGGTGCAGAGATCTTGGGCCGGTGTTCGAACATTTTGGGAAAGATTTTGCATGATTTTGCTGCATGTTGGATTTACTGTCTTTTGGCACCAAACTGGCGAGTTACAGTTTCGCTCCGGAAGCTGGTCGACTCCTTGGTCATCCAAGGATCGCCTTGCAGCGGGCGGGCCAGGGAGCAGCAAGACACATTGTTGGGCGTGCCATCGGCGAGTCCTTGAGGATGACGGAGCATGCGACCATGCAGGCGTTGAAGGCGGGAGAGAGCGAGCGATCGTGGCGGAGCGAGCGAGCAAGCGAGCGAGCGAGCTAGTGGCGGGAGCTAGCATGAACAGAGAGAGAGAGAGAGAGAGAAAGAGCACATGTTTGATCATGTTTGTATTGTTTCACATGAATGATGTATACTGTATACTATATTAAACTATTGTATGATATTGTATATATTAATGTATATATATATATATATATTCGAAGAATACTATCACGCAGCTGATGATAATTCTCCCTACAGATCCATTGCCAAAGTGGCAGATTGGCTTTCCTAAGTTGTTGTTCAAGCACGTGTGCCTTTACAAGCTTCTGAGTCGTCAAGAGTGCTAAAGCCTGTCATTCTTGAGAGGATTTCAATGGTTTGGTGGGATCATTCCTACATAAAGACGCGCCCCAAACAACAGGGCCTTCCAAACTATGTAATTCATCCAGAAATCCGATTCGGAAGTCTAAACCATGCTAAACGGCTTGGCTATCCCACCGCTTCAATCGGTATTTGTGGACGAAAACACATTCCATTTTTTTTTCCCGCTGGAAGGCCTTGAGAGTTTTAGTACCCTTCGTTGGAATGCTTTTCGTGATCCACCTGGCTGAGTAGCTTGGAGAAGGGCGAGCCTTCCAAAAGACGATGAGGATGAACACCCGCCAAGATCCCAAGTCCCAGTCATAGTCACAGCTGACATGCTAAAATAGGAAATCATAGGATAATAGCCTTGAACCCAGCGAATCTGGGGGTGGCCTTTTAGGCAAACCTGAGCCATTATGTATTTTTGTCCTGTCGATGGATGCTGGGTTTATATACCCAGAACTGTTCTTGATTTCAGAGCTTGTTTGGCAAGCTAACGCCGAGCGCTAGTCAAGTCTTCAAGTCAAAAGCAGAACTGGTTCATGCTGACCGGCCAAGGCATGACTGGCACAGGTTCATGGAGGAGTGGAGCCCTGCAATTTGCATTTCACAAGACTTTGCTTAATTTTTGCAGTTCTGTTTTAGCAGCTAGGGACCCACTAGCAGCCATCATCAGCATCATCAGGATCTTCTTACTTTTGAATGGGAAAACCCAAGTAGGGATGAGGTATATGAGATGCCGTCAGGCTGTCAGGAACATTTTTGGGTTGTTGAAGAATGTTGAGATGTCTAACAGGCCGTATTGGTGGGAGTTCAGTGTTGTTGCTTGCTGCTGTATGCAAGAATGCCATTATCGCACCATTCCAAGAACTTAGAGAAGGCGCATCGTTTAAGCAGTGTTGCACACTCTTCGACTTCATGGTTGTCATTGGTTGTCTCATAATGAGCCTCCCACGATCACCCCAAAGAGCCCACATGTTGAGCCTCAACAGACTCCAGAGCTGCAGAAAGCAAGGAAAGCACGGAGATCCGTGAGCTGCAGCCTTTTCGCATTGGCACTTCTGGGAGATGCCATGGATACCTTGGCACATGTGCCTCAGACATATCAGACATGGATACCTTAGACTTGGCAGACCCAGAGACGCTGCGCATGGAATCTGATGAGTTGCTAAGCAGGCTGTACACAGGAACATCGTTGACATGGCCTCCGGCAGTTTATGGCCTATTGCATGTCTACGAAGATCTACGAAGTAATGTTTTTTAGGACCCATGTCCGGGAGTAGCAGGCTTGGCCATGCTGTTAAAATCCTGGTTTGCTGACAGGTCTGTGTGATTTCGGCTGGGTTGGTGCACATCGACCATGACTTCTTGCACAGTACTGAGAGTTGCTGAGATGAACTGAGATAGGAGCTATTAGTAGGCGTCCTTTCAGAGACGCTGCGTCCTTTCGGTTACAAGGATCGGTCCACACTCGCTGCAAGCCTTCCACTCTCCACTCTCCACACCCTCCTTTTTCACACACCGGACTGAAACCTGGGTGCCAGAGCATTTTCCTCCACAAAGCCGCTCAGTGGAAATCCAGTTTCCAGGTTCTATGTTCGTTTGCAAGGGGGGTAATTGACAGCGGTCCGCTTAGACCTGGCCAAGTGGCTTTGGACCCCTAGTTCGGTCTATGGCTTGCTCGAACCACGACATCGCGGTTTGCCTGGCGTTCACGGTTTGCTTATTTTTGCTTAGGGGGTCTTAGGCGTGATAATTTGATATCAATTTCTTATTTTACCTACTCTGAGTCGGAGTGAATCGCCACATTCTAGCTTTCTGAGATTATGGCATGGGCTTCGCGGTGATGGCCTGCTGCTCCGTGGTCGCTGGTGAGATCTCCTCCGCCAAAGCGCAACGGCGGGAGCTGAAGCGGACGCTTGGGGGCATTGGCTGAGTCGGTTGGCCTTTTCATATGTGTTTCCAAGGAGAAAAGGCACACCTAGTGATGCTTGACTTGACCGTGTTTCTTTGGCTCACCCCCGGTGTCACCCCCTCTTTGCGGAGCCCGTTTTTGGGTTCAATCACTGATCCTTCCGTCGCCTTAGGACTTAGGAAGGGGTCCAAGGGAACAACTAGAAAGCTTTACTAGTTACTAGTAGCTTTGGCCTCCAAGCTACGTAAGAGTGATGGCCTCCACCTATAAGCAGCTTCGGTCGTTACGAACAAAACTTTACTAAGAAGTAGAAGATTCAAAGTCTAAGACATACGATAGAGCTCCTGAGCAAAGCTTTACAATAAAGCTTTACACGGAAAGCTTTACAATAAAGCTTGATTGTTACACTGATCCTTCCCACCGTCTCCTTAGGAACAGGTCCAAAGGAACCACTGTGGTGCCTATCACGGGCAGTCCTTGAACCGCGAGGTCCGGCGAACTCGCAGGTCATGGCCATCGGTTATATCATTGAGTCAGAACACATAGATTCTATGTGTAAACTGAATGCACTGTTATAAGATCGTTTAGTCATGGCTTGTATTCGGTTCTTATATATATTTTGTATTGTGTCAAACTGTCATCAAACTCATCAATTCCATGGTGGCTTCCACGATTGGTGTTGCCCATTTGGTCACCGGTCCAGGTGCGTCAGAGGCTCCTGAGACGATGAGTTTATACTACGCCCCTGGACATGACATGATGGCATGTCTGGAGAACAACGTCAACTGCGGCACAGCGAGGCCACGCGCGCTCGGCACAGCATGCCATGGCTCAGAGGCACCGGCACTGTTGGGCTCAAAAGCAGTCCAAGCGGATGTCCTTCAGCAGAGATCGAGGAAGATGGATTTCCAACAAGTCGGTTTTCTGTGTGCGTTCGTGTATTCCCGCAGAAGTTTGCGCTCGCACACGCACACTTGCAAACCATCACGAACCTGGTACTTAGTTTGAAAAAGAACATCAATCCTGAAAGCGACAATCCTGTCACTGTTCCGATTGAACCCACGGACTCATATTGTTTCAAGTGGGTTGAAAGCACCCACCAGTTCTTTTATTCGTTGGTTCTGACCTGTTCGGCGGCGGGGCGTTTGGCTCGGGGTTCCTCCAGGTTGGAGGAGTGAGCATTTTTGTGTTAAAGCATCCAGGAGGTGCATTTGATGAGAGGGACTCAAAGAATGATTCTAATGATCATGCTTCAAGTTAGGATCTGATGGTGCCCGCTACTTAGCAGGACCGGCCTGCTGAATCCACCTCCATCAACCCCAGTCTGAGGATTCCAAGCCCGCTTCCCCAAGGAGCCAACTAATCCGCTGAGTGAGTGGCTGATTCTGCCCTCCTGCAACATGCCCAAGGCCACTACAATGGCTGCAAGTACTATCGAGAGCCGCTTGGCTTTGAAGGCATCCATTGCCGTTACTCTCCCTGCAACAAACATAGAAGTGGACAACCCCCTTTTTGTAGAGGAGAGAGGGGTCTTTTCAGGGGCCACGACGTCCGTAGCTTGCATTGGATGCCGAGACTGCCCCAACGGCTAAGAAGTTGGGCGACTTCATTGGCCGCGCATGAGTATGGTATGGCATACCGGCATACCCATGATGTTGTACATTCCAAGCACAGACCTTGAGTGGACGGAGTGGTCAACACCCACAGGGGCAACAAAAAAACATTGACAAATAGCCAGCTACCAAAGTGCTCACCTCACCCCAGGTATTCCTAGGTGGCATGCAAGGACATCAAGCCAATAAGCCCTCACCAGCATCTATGATCCTAATAGGCATGTTGCACCTGAACGATCCTGAACGTGTCTTTCTTTGGGGAGAAGGTCTGGCTGAAGCGGTCGGATCGTCGCCCTGGACGATTCCTATCATCGATGATGCTTGGAGACCCTATCCCGGGGACACCGGGTCGATGGCCTTGTGAGTCTGAGCGAAGCCCAACCCTGGTAGGTCGACCTTGTTCTATTCATGTTGGGTGGTCAACCTGCCAGGGTTCTATTCTGTTCATTTTGGGTGGCCAACCAAGGTCCCCCTGGTTTCGGCTGCACATCCATCGCTGGGGGTGGAGCGCTTCCAGGGACCCTGGCGACCTGGTGCTTCCCACCCGATGGCCCAGGCCCCCAAAGGAATCATGAGGCTTTGCTCACCAGATCTCACAAGTACAACTTGCGAACACACGTGCAAACTGGACATGGGGGAACCCAAAACCTGTTCACCTGGCCACGTCCCGCACATGGCCACGTCCCGCAGCCGACGGCCCCTCACCGGTCCGGGACCCGAGGTTCGTGGACCATCGTCCCGGGAAGTTCGGACGCCGCGTCTTCACGGCCTTCATGTTGGCCTCGGTCTTGTGCCTCACCTGCGCTTTGACGACGACCCCCGGTGCGTCGAAGACTAGGGTCGAAGAAGGTGGCGTTGACCCCGTGGTCGGTCCAAACCCCCGTTTTCGGTGGATTCCGGTTTGGCAGAGCGTCTCCGACTCCGACTCGTTGCCAAGAAGGTCAACCCGAGCCCGCGATCTTCGGACCGATCGGATGTCTAAAAGGAGTCCACAACTCACCGTAGACTCTTGAGGACCATACACCCCCCCCGTTTGAATTGAACATCCTCTCTTCAGAGGGGGGGTTATTGAATCAAGAGTTTACATTATTGTATAATATGTACCTACACACCAGACACTTCAGTTTTCATGTATCAGACATCACCAGACTCATTCACGTATTGAAGATTTACCACTGACCCCTGAAACCGCCTATCAGTATACCATGAAATGTTTGGGTCCCGGCTTGCCACCCTCAGGTTCGCGACGACCATGCTCTTGGGCTATGCCACCTTCGGAGATCGTGCAGAGGGGGGTTGTGTTGAACAACTATGTGACTTGACGCTCAAGCGGAGGGTGATGTAGACTCTTGATCAATGAATCAATAACCACCCCATATGAAAAGGATGTCCAAGGCGGGGTTATTAATATTGGGGGAAGATCCCACGTTGGGCGATCAAATGATTCACGAAGAAATGGCGGCATTAGCTACTGTAGCGGCTAATTAGCCGACTGGTCCTGGGAATCAGCTGCTTTCAGGATGATTTAGAGGTGTTTAGAGGTGACAGTTGACCAGATGTTGGTGGTGCTGCTGGTATTGCAACCGGGCCAGGAAGATGGAAGGTTTGGATACCCCTAGAGTATGTCACTATAAGATGGTTATCATCTTCCCTTATATATAAAGCGGACAACCGCAGCCCAAGCAGATATTCAACCGGTATGGTTTGGGTGGTCTGAGCATTTCACGAAGCTTTCACTATTCACAACGAAAGATCTAGGAAAAGCTCCCCAGCTTACCGAAAAGGTGCAGAAGAGGGCAACATGTCCTACGATGTTTTGATCTACACGTTCGTGCTGCAGCTTCATGCGGTTCCGGCTTTGTGACACCTTTGCAGGTAAACTTTAGAATATAATTATGGGTTGACTTCTGGACAATTCTTCTCATATTTGCTAACTAGACCAGTGTTTTATTGGCTCTTTGGCTCTGACTGCGGGAATGTCCATATGATGTTCCTTGCAATAATCAAATTCGAACGGTTCAAGACCGCCCATCAGGCAAAGGAGGACATGCTGGCCAACATTGCTCGCTTCGGCATGGGCTTTGCCAACGTCTTTAGCCTGCCACTGATGTTTAGTGGTCTTCGTTCCTGGGCTTTGGACTTAAAGACTCAAGACGGTGGAATGAGTGGAATGGGTTTCCCATGGTTTCCCTACTGACAATACCAGCAGGTGGAAAACGGGTCCGGGTCAGAGAACTGTATTTTCTAAACATCACTATTGGTTTCAAGAGAAGGTCATCAAGTTTTGATGCTCTTGGCTTGGGTTGTTCTTTGTTGTTGTTCTTTTCTTGCGTCTTGCACACGTCGTTCGGTGAGCTGAGTGAAGTCTACATGTTGTACTTGTTACACTGGTTTCAGTGTAGGGTTTCAGTGTGTAGATGGTACAATCTCCAAGATGTCATGGACAGATGGGGGTCCACCATTGAAGCACCGACATTTGTGCCATTTGTGCCATTGGTCCTCTCAATCCATCTTCTCCTCACTCCTCAAAATCAAGACACATATAAATTACATTTAGGGTCCCCCCCGTCACTAATTGGTGCCGATATTAGATATATATGACACTATATGACTATATGAGACTATATGTTTCTCCTCCCCCAGTTCCAGCAGCCGCTCCGAAAACGGGAAGGCCACCACTCTGCCGCCAAGTTCGGTCCAGGAGAGGCCACCTTGGTCTTGCTGGCCACTGCCGTGCCAGACACTGCCGCTTTGAAACCGAAAGCACCACGAGAGGTCAGACCCTCTCGCACGAGGTCTGCGAAAGGAACCGGAGACCATGGGGAGACCATGGGAGACCCAGACCCGAAGGCGGAATGCTTCGGGTCAGGTCAGGTTTGCAGGTGACCAGCGGAACAGGCGCCAGGCGCTTGGCGGCTGGAACCCGGGACACCCCATCGAAAGCCGCGAAAGCTGGGCGGGTAGCGGATAATGTAGATGCTTGATTCATCGAACCCCTCCGTTTGGATGCGCGCACTCGCGGTAAAACCTCTTTTCGTATAGGAGGGCTATACTGCTATACTTATCAAGGGTCTACATGAGGTTCCTGGCACAACTCTCTCTTGGCCTTAATGGTTGAAGGAATATGGTTTAGAAGTTTAGATGATCGCCTCTGTGCCGAGACTGCTTCCGAGGACCTGCCTGGAAGACAGGAAACGATGATCTCCAATCACGCCAATAGTCTCTAACCCCACCGTGTTAGAGTCCTCTTTGTTGGTCTGCCAGCACATTGTCCAAGAAGTTGTTCATGCCACTGTTGGGTGCAGTACCTATCCATATGTGTCTATCCATGCCATGAGATCTCAAAAAGACTTCTTGTACTCTGAGGTCGTTTTCGATCAAGTTTGGTTCCAGAATGCCTTGAGTGCCTTGATGCTTGGTGTGCCTTGGCGAGAACGAACGGTGCCGGCCGCGCGTCAAGTTCGCGGAGCCAGAAAAGCGAATCGAAGGCTCCGGAGCCAGCGCCACAACAATTCAAAGCCAGATTGCGAGCGCACGACAAGCACAGCAAGCAAATTTTCCGGATTTTGTCCACGTCACACGAAACTAACGCGATGTTCTAGTGATTCTATTGAACTGGCTCAAGTCTGGCATTATTTAACGGCATTGTGCACCCTGTCAAAATAACTAATTTTGGAACCTTAAAGCCACTGGGTTGTAGAGGAAAGCAGTCCATGCCATGCAGGTCCATTGCCGTTCGCCCGGTTCCATTTTGCCCCGTGTCCGGACCACGGGGATTGAGCGGCTTCCGTTTTTCGCGGCGGCACATGCTCGGGTGCACTTGGCCCCACCATCACATCCTTCAACAAAGATAGTGGAATTACACATAGTAAAATATAGTAAAATATGCTGGAATATGATATATGTCATGATATGCCTATATATCAGTGTTCTATCCACGTGTAAAAAGGCCCAAGCTCGCAGAAGAAAGAGCATGGACACCATAGGGCCTTGCTCCACACACGTGCCAGGCAAAGGCGCGGCACGGTGCCCAGACTTTGGTGGTTATGGTACTGAAAGCACTGAAAGATTGGTGGAATAGTGGTGTACGGTACTGGACAACTAGAATAGATAGTGGTGTACAGTGGTAGCAGTGCAGTGGTGTAGTGTTGTACCACTTCCTAGACTGCCACCTTTCATGACTTTTTGTTGTTTAAACTTTGGTGGTCGTTGACAGATTTACCCAGAGTCTTTGACTTGACCAATTCATTTTGACACTCCTATCAAAGGGGCCTCTTTCTTTGGAAAAGTCCTGGGACCGCACACACCCACCTGTGAGGTGATTGCTGTCTTGGGCATCATCGTGACAGATGTAAGCACAGTGATCGGGTTGGTTGGTGCGAT